TTATAGATTTATTAGGCCGCTATATTGGAGCTCGTTGCTTCTTTGGAAATTTTGGGAAGATGTCCGTTCAGAACTAGAAAGACATTAGTGTACATTTTTGATGAAATAAAGCCTAGATGTCACCAGAGCAAATGTTGGAAGACCTAAATTTCATGACACTGTTAATTCTTCAAAGGAAACTATGAAGCTTATCACTCTTTCAACACCATATGACACACATCGTTACAACCATTGCAATCATTTCCGTTGGTTTGGGGGTCAATTAAAATTACGAGCAATTAGGCTGCAGAAAACTGGACAAACGCAAAAGGATGTCTTGATGCCTTCGGTAGCGACTAATTTAAAAGAATCATAGCCTTGTGAGTCACCTATTGAAATGTGCAAACTTAACAAAGACATATTATGCAATCGGAACATGATATCTATCGGGCTGCTGATTCGGGCATTATAACAATAGGGTACTGATTTTCGAAAATATTTGTGATTGTGTTTCCTGAACTATGTTGGAAGCATATAGAGAAGATGCTGAACTTTCATCGCACTTGCACGTAACTTCAAAAAGTTGCTGAAGTATACTTGCTTCCTTATGCCAATAACGACTGCCTCTGTCAGTGGAAGTCATGCTTAACAGTGACAATTAAATTAATTTAGGGCAGGAAGGGATCAAGTAGAGTGCTGTCATCAAATTAACAAGTTCAGAGATTTTAAGTTTTTCCAAGATATTACACCGGACCAACCCTGCATGACCAATCCTAAAAGAAAACCCCAAGTTTCAAGTCGAGGAGCTCGGCTATTCTCAGGTCGGGCTCAATCGCAACTCTCCGGTCTGTAAGTAACGAGGTTTTCTCATTTCCTTTTATTAAAACGGTGGAATTGGGGCTAATTAGCAAAGCCTCAGGGGCTTTCCTCTGAGAAATTAAAGCTTTCTGCTCGACTGATTGACCCCATGTGGTTCTTACTCCTGCATGGTATTGTTGCGGAACGTTTCTGCGTGATTTGCATTTTCAAAGGCCATGACCAAACTTTCACACCGGTTGATCCAATATGCTCCAGGTATTTACTTCAAAGATAGGATTGACAATTTGACATACCTGCCAACCCTTCCAAGCAAAAATTAGGAATCCCTCATGGGAAAATTAGGAATACATTAATTTTGTATACTTTTTGCACAGAAGTTTTCAGAAAAGGAAAGGAATCTAAGGGGTTCATAGCAGGAGTTTGAGGGCCAAAAAGTAGGAATCATTAATTCCTCCGAAATAGGAATGGTTGGCAGCTACGGATTGAGTTTGAGGTTTGAGGTTTTAGGTTAGGGATATACTACTATAGGGTAATAGGTCATGAGTTGAAGTTTAGAAATTGGTTATAGTTATAAATTGACCATGGCGCAAACAATAACCAACTGTTTTCATGAAGGAAGCTACAGATCAACTTGCCCACTTCTCTGAAGTTTTTACAGAGTACATACATTCTCTTTTCCATATTTACGCCTATGTCTTAAATTAATCTTGCAATATCACAAGAATGAGGAAATGTGTGGACATTTTTTTGAAAATTGATATTGACATGACATGAATATTTCAGAAGTCCTCTGGGTCGAATCCCTGAATCGATACGACAGCATCCATCAGGACCGATGCCGAGAGTTGACGTAACCATGGTTATTCGACGTTCCATTCATTCAAGATGAGAGACGAGCACCCGTGAAAATGCGGGGGTCTTAATCAGTACGTGAGTGCGATAATCTATTCGAGTCGAGATGGGATTCACGGGGGAAGATTTATCGGACTGGAGCAGGACAGCAGTCGTAGGGGAAGGTCTCAGTTTTAACTGCCACCCTATCAGGTTGAATCTACGTCAAGAGACCTGACGTTACCAGGGGCTCGTTCACACGTGAATGTAGGAGATTTTGAAACGATTTAAGAATCTCACTAGTGGGTGTGAGTGTCTGAACAGAACTAAAATGTCACTAATTTATGAGGTTCTAATCACGATTCAATTTTGGTGAATGGTTAAGATTACTTGCTGCATGATTTGTTTTTAAAAACGATTTAAAACAGCAGGCAGAAGAGGGCCCTTGGTTATAACCATGCAAAGTCAGCAGAAAAGAGATAAGGAAATGTTCTTTAACTGGTACAAAAAAGATCATATTTGAATAATTGCTAAATTTAACTTCTTTTCTCATGTGTGAATGCTCAATTTATCTTTTCTTGTGTGTGAATGCTCAATTTAACTTCTTTTCTCATGTGTGAATGCTCAATTTATCTTTTCTTGTGTGTGAATGCTCAATTTAACTTCTTTTCTCATGTGTGAATGCTCAATTTAACTACTGTTACTCTTCTTGTGTGTGCATGAATGCTCAATTTAACTTCTTTTCTTGTGTGTGAATGGCACCTTTAGAAACATCCTTGTTCAAACTGGGTATAGAGCAGCACATAGGATACTGGCAAAGGGATTGCACATGAATATTTGGTAGAAATGAGATGCAGGTCCACTGCAAGAGCCATCAGTATCAGTTTGGGGAAATCATCTTGCCAATATCCTATCTGCTAATATAAATAGTTATATGTCAGTCTTTGTTAGATCTATAATTACAAAAATAATTCTAAAATTATCCTTACCAAATGTAGTTCAAGGTTTTATGTCTGAGATGACACTTGATTTTTATTTACAATTTCAAAAAAAAGAAGAGTGTAGGTGGAGATTGTGCACACAGTGTGTGTTGGCAAGTATTGAATCCAATGGCCTGGGTAATAGTATATCTGTGAAGTGCTTATAACTTAGAGACATTTGTTGAGTGCTATATAAATTTTAATGTAGGCAACACGATACAATATATAAATAGCAAAGTACATCAACAAACAAATATATATAGCACCCGCCTTAATTCCCTCTCAATTTCAACTTTACATCGCCTCTTATTGCAGACACCCTACATGCAAGTTTATTCAGTTGAAGGTTTCCATACTTGTAGCTGCTTTGAGGGGGAAGGGGGGGGGGGGAGATACGTGGAGCTGTTGATGATTTTTCTTCTGGATGGGCGAAGAGGAATAAAGAGGTCAACAACTTGCTACAGTATCTACATGTGCAGACTACAGACTATCCAATCACATCTAACCACTACTCGTGCTCCAAATTTCCTCTGACACCGTATCTCTCTCTCTTCCTTTCCCTTCCGTATTCAACTAAAACTCTAACCCCGCGTTCAGACTATAGGAAATTTATACCCGAAATCGTAGAAAGAAACGTAATAGAGAAACATCAGAAATCAAAAAGGAGCATTCAGAGTAGAAAACAATACCGGATAAAGAAATGTTGTATAAAGTAACTAACTTCATACAAAGAGGTCAATTGATATATTGTAGATGGCTAATCATCAGAGAGCGCTCAGAGTTAGCCCCGCCCAGTTATACGATTATGGTACAATATGACGATAAGACCACAACATGGCCATGATTCTTTAGCGAGTCTTTGTTTGAAATGATGCTCATCAAATAAGCGTTTCGCTAAACGATGTTTCTTTATACGATACATTCTGGTAGTCTAAATAGGGGCTAACTCCATCTCTCTCTTCCTCTCTCTTCAATTTTGAGCTCTAAATCTTGACATTCATGCTAAGTCAGCACTGTAATGGAAGCCCCCACGAGAGGCAACATGAGCGATATTAGATTTGCCCCGGTGTTCGTTACAACATGATTCGAAGAGCTCTGCAAGTGGATGGATGCTGTAGGCTAGAGATAACCGTGTACAGAATTCTGTCAAGCATTTAGGGTGTAATTGGGGGTAATTCTAAGAGGAAAACCACGGCTAAACTAGTCTTTTCGCCGAAAAAAAACCTCAGCCAAATTTAGTATCCACCAAATCTGTCAGAAATACACTTTTCTTGAGGACATATTGAAATGCATGTGACTTGTTTTAATGCTCTTTTATCCCCATAGAACCAGAGCAACTTGCTTTCAATCTTGGTCACTCAGAGACTAAATGTGGATATCAAATAAAAGGAACGCAGCACTCATTTCCTGCAGAAAATCTTTGATTTGCAATAATCAATTCTAGATTAGGCTTATGTAATTGATTCTCAATTCACTAATCTCATATCTCCACACGCACATACATGTACCATCATGCCAAATTGAGAGTTTTTAAAAAAAAATTCTAGAGATCCAGTCATATTCAGTATATCAATATGCTCTAAACCATGAAAGAGCATTTCTTCTTTACAAAAGTGCGTTATCAACATTTCATTCTGATAATGGTCCTTAATTCCAGCGCCACATGCCTACTTGTTTATGTACAACTAGACTGTGAATGTAGCAGCCAATTTTCAACACTCCATTCAGCTTTAGTTCAGGCATCCAACAATTGCACAAATTTACAAAATACAGATTCTTTCGTTCTACGCCCATACCCGACAATCAACATTAGCTTTGCCCCCTATATGCCCGCCCACAAAGCTGCATGTTCCTGTAAAATTATGCACGCTTTAAACTGTTGCAGACTTCCTTAACAATTCCAGACGTTTTTATCGTTTCAGCGAATTACAAATAGAATTTCTATACTGTCCTTTTTTTATCGGAAAAACTAACCAAGTTTGGTGATTCATCACTGAACTGAAACATTTTCTCTCTTGATTCTTCTCATGAATTCAAAAGAAAAGGGAGTGTTTTTCAAAGCTTCAGAAGTTCAGATCTTTCTTGCAAATCTTTACTTTGACAAAAGCAGGGCAAAAGACGTTTATTGTTATTGCTATGTGGGGGAAAGATTTAATCTTTTTGTGGATGAAACCTGACCCGGTTGAAGCCCAGTACTTTACTCAATAAATACTAGCACAATGGTTGAAATGTACATTTTGATTTCAAAGTGCCCCTACAAATAAAGTGAATGCACTGTAGACTCAAACACACTTAACAATTTCAATGCTGGCATAATCAAATAGGTGAAAACTGCAAGTGTTTGATACACCTTGAACGATGATTTCTTTTGACTTTTATCCTAAATTGTTAACTTTTAAATATTTTTTCTGGTTATTTCAAGTACAATAGAGGTGCTAAAATCTCATGAAACTTTCAGTGTAATTTATTGATGAGCTATATTACTTGACTTTTAAGTAAAAGTAAGTATAATTGTAGATACGCAATTAGAGATACAGTATCTGTGACTGTAATGTCCTATCTGAGAGAAACATTTGAATACCTACAATTTTTATTTTGATGTCGATATTAAATTTCAATTGGCACCATGACCCCCTAAATGGAGAAAAAGGAAAAGGGATAACATATCAGGATCAGCTCATATTTTTATCAATTCCCAATTCCATTGACACATTCAATAACAACAATCAATCAACAAGACAATCACAAACAACACAAATGGAAAATGAAAGACATATTCCACATCGAACAGACAACCATCCAAAACACAAAATAATAATAATCTTTTCAAAATGAACAAATCTTTGAATTTCATCTCGACTGTTTTGCAAATGAAAATAATGCCCAACAGACGTGAACAGACACTTTTTTACCAAAATAATGAACAAAGATTTGTTCATTTTGAAAAGATATCCTGTAATTTGAAATCGAATCTAAGACTTCTTTCTGGAAATGAAAAGAGGGTCCTCTTACCTTTGATGTCAATTTTAAAGGGCATCCCCGGGGTCATAATGTCGTAGCTGCAGATCGTGGAAAATCCAGGCGAGCAGTCGTCATCGACCGCTTGAATCTGGAGAAATTTATGAGGCACCGTGCCTTCTTCTACCGTTGCTTCGTACGAATTTTGTAAGAAGCGTGGCTTGTTATTATTTGGGTCGCGCATGACGATATGAACTTGCGCTCTGTGGAAAATGAATGCAAAGAAAAAGTTACATTTTAATTATTAAAATTCAATATAGGCTGAACATTATGCAGCATCATACTTCCCCGCAAGTTGACCAGTATCAGCAAAGTTTCATGCGGGTGATTTTTTAACACATTATTTTCCTTTCCTCTTTTATGATTGTTATCTCATTAGCTTGTAAAGAATTCTTGATAGCTGCACCTTTATTTTGTTAAACCTTTGTTAGTTTTCTAACGACTTGGTCCCTTTCAATTATTTACTTCAGAAGTCTAAGAAAAGGTAAGAAATATTAAAGATGCTAATTTCATAAAGTAAACACATATCATAAGTCTGTGGAGGACATAGTGGATAAGATGCTAAATTTAAAAGATCATTAATTAGGTAGAGGGTCTATGATATTAAAGGAATGTAGCGTTTTCTAGTCACTGTCATTTCTCACTCTCTTTCCTCTTTGTACCAGGGTTGGTAATGTTTTATATTTAAGACAAAATTGTGAATAAAATAAGATATTCAAATTAAATTGATCAACAGAATGTTCTAAATTCACTGACTTCATAAAGGAGCAATTTCAATCACTGAATTCAAATCAGCACTTTTCTGATTTCTCTTGTTGCCCAACCTTTGATTCTAGTCATAAACTTCAAAATGAAATCTGAGATTACCATTGCTATTTGGAATCCCTTTGTTTATCTCATCTATGCATGCCGAGTGGCAAAGGACAAAAGGGGATAATATTGATGGGCCTTCGCAAAATGCATGAATTAGACGTCCTGGAAAACATGACCTCAGCATCGATTCATAATAGTCTAGTAGCAGATCTTTGAAGTATCATTCTAATTTCTTCGGGGTTGTTAAACAGTTTTATTTCATGCTTTCCTTTTCCTTGAATTAACAGGTTTGCGCCATCATAACTTTTCTTTCTACGTCAAGCTGGAAGACAAACGATAACAATTCATTTGAACAGCAGATTTATCAATTGTTCTGAACGAAATGCTGACGAACGGAGCAAGGACAGATGATGCACTTAAAGGATTTAAGTGTTTACAGTTAAAAACGACATAACGTCAGTGACTATCTAGACGATAATATCCGCTACTTAAGAACAAGCTATGACGTGAGATCAGAAACAAAGAAGCACTTAAGGGAATATTTTCTTTCCGTTTAACTTTACATCTAAACAACATTGATATGATACTCTATCTCTCATAATTCTTTGACTTTGAAGCCTTTTTTAAATTTCGGAAATACCATTTGTATAAAGTCATAAATTTGCCGTTTTATGTGGGCAACCTGAAAAGGACTGTTGGGTTTGAAAAGTGATACAAAAAAGAAGTGCCCGTAAAATGGCCACTGGCCGGAATGCTCCCCAGGGAGTGGAGAATGTGCATTCATTGTGTGCGGGTAAGCCTGAATCCGATGATCGAGGTAATAATATATCTGTAGAGTGCTTTAATAAACACATCACTGTATCAATGTATTGGGCGCTATATAAAAGCGGAATATTATTATTATAAACATGAAAATTTTAGACTTACGTTGGGGAGGGGAGAGAGGGCGTGCCGCAGTCGGACGCCTGAATATGAAATTTCCACTCCCTATTTTCGTCGCAGTCTTTGACCGCCGCGTTGATGGCGCCGCTGACCGCCTCGATGGTCCCTGCCCCGCCCGTCGCCCCGGTCTGCACGCTGGCGGTAAACGGTACGCTTTCTAAGATGTTAAAATGACAGATTTTTCCGTTTGCGCCCTCGTCGTGGTCGTGTGCGACCAGGGCTGGGGGAAGCATCTCCAGCCTCCCGTGCTCGTTGATCTCGCCTCTGAAGATCTCGTCCTCCCAGTATGGTGCATGATTTGATGTGTCTGTAAAGAGGAGAACAATAGGTAAAATGGAAATTAATTCATTATTCGCTATGTACATGATTTTATGATCAAAGAAAAATAGGAGAAGGGGGATGGGGAGAGAGAGCGAGAGAGAGAAAGGGACGAAGGGTGAGGGACGAAGGGTGAGGGACGAAGGGAGTGGGGAGGGAGGGGGAATGAGAATGAGAGAGAGAGAGAGAGTGGAAGAAGAGAGAAGGGATAGACACATACATACACACAGAGGGAAGAGGGAGATAGAAAGAGAAAGAGGGAAAGGAAGACGGATGGATGGCATGGATGGAAGAAGAGAAATATACAAAATTCACAAACATGCATAGGTTGTTGTAATGCAGAAGTATGAAAGTATTTTTATATTTGGAAATGTGCTTGATTTTAAGGAATTCATTCATGTCTGCAGATAAAAAAAAATATTATTAAACTTCTCAAGTTAACGCATTCAAAATATGTTCAGACAAGTTACGTCCAGGTTGAATTCACTTCACACACAAAAAAAACAATAACAACAAAACCTACTGCAGAAGCCAGAAACACTAGAGAATAACTACACATCAGGACAAACAAAATCACTTCAAATCCTTTTTAATTTTGTCATACATTTCATGAACAGATCCATGAAACATAACACTATGGACCTGTGGACTTCTCAACTCCCAAAAATGTTATTTATATAATTTAAGATGGGTGCAACTGCAAGGTATATTTCAGCACTTGACACCCTAGAACAGTACTATTTCTATAACCTGATATTCAAGAATGTTTTCTAGAAATCACGCTAACTGTAAATTTTTTAATAAATGCTACCTACAGCACAGACATTTCAAACATCATCATGTTCTCTGCTCAATGTGACTTCTTATTAAAGAAGGTGGGTCTCGTTGGTAATCGAATTACTGTCAGTAAACCTATCACGAGTCTCATGAAGGGAGACATTCAATTCAAGGCATGATTGGCGCTCCATTCACACTACCAAATTCATTTTATGGCTATACGATAAGTAATTTAATACAATACAACTTGTTTTTGCGACTCTTGTTTTTTAACACTAATAGATACAAAATCTTTCAAATGGCCAAAATATAAACATTTAAATCTATTCAGGTTCAGATTTCAGACCATCAGTTTAAATATCAAACCAAAACAGAGACAACAAAGAATGTATGATGGACAATAAACCTATAAATAAGATCTTATCTTTCTAAGTTCCTATGAGAGGTATCATATTTAATACATAGGTATACATTCCAGATTTGTTCTCCACTTGTTGTGTAAACAGGTATCGTTGAAAGAAGAAAAAATGAAAAAAATTTCAAGTGAATCATTGTGTGAAATACAATCCTGCTGATCATTTTACACGACGATTTGATGGATTCATTGCATATTTTCGTTTTGAACGGAAGATATAAAATTATAGTTTACGGCATTCATAGAATACAAAGCGTACATTTGTTTTTAAAAAGTCATTACAACTAATAGTGAACCTGTGTAAAGGTATAAACAGGTACAAATCACTGGGTTTGGTAATTTTGCATCAAACACTCAAGTATATATCTTAAAAATAAAAATAAAAACATATCCTACATGTCTTCAAATCTTAATTTTACTAAAGACACCAAACTGCAATAATAGCAAAAGGTGAAATGTACTGTACATCAATTAACCATATTTATATTTGAGGGATGACATTTAATACTCTACAATGTAATTAAAAACAGGTTTGTCCAGCTAATATCTCCCTGCCATTTCAGTAAAGACACGCAAGAGAAAAACATGACAGACAACACCACTTCAGGAGATGTAATTGATCTCTATTTTTAATACTTTTTTTTTTTTCTTCTGGGAAGGAATAGAGAACTGAATAAAAGTCGATACGTTGTTTCATTATTATGGATACCTCATTTGTTTTTCCTGGTACGATGATGAATTGGATTTGATACCGCACGATAAGTCAACAACTTGTTTCATCATCGAGAGGGCCTTGCAATAAGCGACCTCTTCATCAAATGAGAATATTGATTTTAACTGTGAGAAGAGCAACACCGATGGATTAATCACGGTGTATGAATCATCTTTTCATCCTCTGCTCCTAGCGACACCACTTCTCTCATCATCACCCTCCCCCACACACACACTCACCACCACCATCATCATCATCACCCCCCCTCCATGACCATCATCATCACCCTCCCCCCCCCCACACACACACACACTCACACTCTAATCACCACCATCATCATCCCTCCCCCCACCATGACCATCGTAATCTGCCCCCTCTTCTCCCCCACACACACTCACCACCACCATCATCACTAGCACCACCATCATCATCTACCCCCCCCCCTCTCCCCATCCACACACCCTCTTCTCCTACCAACACCACTTTTCTCATCATCCCCCCCCCCTCCATGACCATCATCATCATCACCCCTCCCCCTACACCAACATGACCATCATCATCTGCCCCCCTCCCCATCTACAAACACTCTTTTCCTACCAACATCACTTCTCTCATCATCATTACCCCTAATACCACTACAACCCCCCCCCCCCCTCCATGACCATCATCATCTGCCCCCCCCCCCCTCCTCCCATCATCACACACACATAATATGCTCTCCCGATCTATCCCCTCCCTCCTCCCCTCCCCTCCAGCACCACCACCATCATCACACAATCATAATACGATCTCTGCACGTCTTCATCTCATTTTCTCTCTCTCTCGCTCTCTCTCTCTCTCTCACCATCCACGCAGTATCAGTATTGTGATTGCTCTGATACACAAAGGCATTATATGCATTTCGCACACTGGCGCAAGGGGCTCTGCATCGTCATTTGCATGCATAATGAGAATTTAGTGCGGCTCACATACGCATACACAGGTATTTATTAGTGCGCTCATCTCATGTTATGCTTACATCAGTGTATACACCTATGCAATGGTATGCTAATCTTCTGTACTTCATTATCTAGTGTATGCGTGTAAGGGAGGCATTGCATTTATGTAGCTCTCATGTAATCGATTCCGTCAACAGTAATTAATCCTATTTGTAAAATACCTACTGGATGTCTGGGTAATTTTGTAGTGATTTAAACAGTGTTTATCCTTCTACCTTTTCACTGAAGCATTATCTGTTATCATTCAATGATTAAAATACAGTCAAATATGTGTTAAACAAAAAAAGACCGAAATGTGAAATTATTTCAAGTATATCTACAAATGCAATTATATTTTTCCATGATTAAAGAAGGGATAAATAGGGATTAACAAAACATTAATAACTAATTTTGGAACTATAGTGACGAATGGTTTCTATGCTTCTCGGCAGTATAAATCTACAGTCTGAGCAAAGACTAGTGAACCGGCCTCCATCTTTGTTTGAGATGAGTCATCTCATATTATCTCCATGGAGGCCGTTCTCTCTCTAGTCACTCGCTTCATCCTCTAGCCATCCAACAATATTACTTTCTCCTGTCTCTACTCTCCATCAATTCATTTCTTCCTTTGTATGTAATTTCATCTCTTTATCTCTCTCTCTCTCTCTCTCTCTCTCTCTCTCAGCCTCTTGCTACTGTCTCTTCCAAACACATCCTTCATGTATTGCTCTTTTGTATTTTTCTCTTCTTCCATCAATCCCATCCATCCATCTTTCTATCTCTTTCTCTCTCCCCCCCCCCTTTCTCTCTCTCTCTCTCTCTCTCTCTCTCTCCCTCTTTGCCTCTCGCTACTGTTTTTAGCTGTCTCTTTAAAACACTTCCTATATCCATCTTGCTCTTTTTTTGTTTTTATCCATCTCAATAAATAACACCTTCCTTTCCCTCTTTCTCTTCCTTTCTTCTCCCCTCTCTCTGTGTTGCTAGGCCTTCTCTCTTATTCCACACTCCCTCTCTCTCTCATTCCCCCTCCCTCCAGTCTTCCTTCCCCTTCTCTCTCCTCTCCCTCTCTTTCTCCATCTCCCCTTCCTTCTTCAGCCCCTCCCCTCTCTCTCCCAACCCTTCTCTCTCTCCATCTCTTTAAGCCTCTATCCCTCCCTCTTCTACCTCACATCCCATACACATAGATCCAACATGTGGGAGCCACCAGCAGTATTCCCCCACTCTTTCCCCTTTCTAACCACTGATGGATATCCACAACCTTGCATGCCTCCCCCACATACATTATCCAAGTATGACCTCATCAATTTCACCTACACAGCTCTCTCTACATGGTGTACATTGGTGTCCTTATACTACACAGATTCCTATAGTTCTGTCTCCAGCTCCCATGCATCAGTGATGCGATGTGATGTGTGCAGATTTGTATAAGAGGGTGGATGATAAAAGTATACAGAACATGTGGAAATATTTTCAACCTTAATACAGTCTAACCTGTCTATAGCGACTGCCAAAGGGTAAACACAAAAGTGGTCTTTGTAGACAGGTTCCTTTCGTACATGTTTCAATGAGAAACCATTTTTCAAGGGGAACAAATAATGTGGCCTTTGTAGACAGGTGGTCACTAAAGCAGGTTTGACTATAGCTATATTCATCCCCTGATTATAATTATTACAATGTGAACAGGAGGATAATTTGAGCGCTGTATCTGTATGTCTACATCTACCATAGATCACCTTCTTATCATATTATAAACAAAGTTAAGTATCATAGTTCTACCAGAGATGAATAAGGCTGTCTGTTTTGAGATTTGAAAATAATTGTTGTTAATAACGTGAATAGTTGCATATTTTGCAATGGAACGTCTACATCTACTATAGATAGTTTTCTAAACCATTCAACAAGGAAATGTTACAAATGCCATCAAATTGTGTCTACAATTCTACCACAGACAATTTTTTTATCAGCTTCTTAATTTGAAAAAAAAAGGTGTTTGAAATATGGATAACAGGGCAATCTTAAAAAACCATAAGGGTATGTCTACATCTACCATTGATAATTCGCAATGTTAGCTAAAATTGTTAAGCATTATATGATGGATAAGTGTCGAC